ATAAAAGTTTTGATTCTGTGACCAATAAATAATCTGTGATCTACAAAGAAGTTTATTTATGATCGAAAAATAATATATGACCTATAAATTTTTTTATTTGTGATCGAGAAATAAGTTGTGACTAGAAATTAATCCGTGATTAATTAATTTTTTGATTCGTGACCGATGAACAAACTGTGACCTGCAAAACTTTTGCATTTTGATCGTAAAAAAATTTGTGACATAAAATTTTTGATTTGTGACGAAGAAATAATAAATTAGTAATTAAATTGTTAATTCGTGATCAAATTGTATAGACATGTGACCTAAATATATTAAATTTATAAAATAATTAGTTAAATAATTAAATCATAAACAAATTTTAATAAAAATCTAATTTTTGAATTTTAAAACTTGTTTTCTTAATTTTGAAATATACCATTCTTAATCTCTCAATTACGAAATTTTCCCAAATCCTTTTTTCCTTAAAATGTCATGGGCATGGGGTTTAGCCCAGATCTCCTCCATCCCATCCTCCCATTCAAGACACCCATGATCTGAGCTCAAACGATTGAATGATGGAGACCACAAACTTTGAAAAACTATTCATCCCAAGTAAACCCATGGTTGAGCCACATTTTAGGAAAAAATGCATTATTCATATCAAATCAATGAAAAATGCGTGAGTAAAGAATAAGGAAAAATTTTAGATTTACGTGTAATATTATTTTATTAAAAAATATGTAGTTAAAATAATAGCAAATCACTCTTGGAAAATGTATTTTTTTTAAAAATAACATGGCTCAAACAAGCCCTGATGCTTTTTATATACAATTTACTTTTGGGGGGATTTGTTTAAGAAGCCTAGTCAACCAAAATTTTTACTAAAATAGCCTGTATCAATAGTTTTTGTTCAGAGAGCCAATGTTATGTATTAAAAGTCTTAAATACCCTTAAATTGAAATGACTAAAATATCCAATTTGGAGTTCAATATTTACCAAATCCCCACTTTTATACTAACTTTTCGTACACATTTTTAAACTAACGGCAAAATGGCATAATGCCTTTTTAAACTGTATCACTTTATGTTTCCTCGTATCCATAAAAAAAATTAATGAAAACAAGTTTTAACTATATTTTGAGTGAAATTGAGAGTCCATGATCCAAAGCAGGATGCTGTCGTTGTAAATAGTTTGATGACGTTTTAACTAACGTAAACAATTTTTCGCTACATTTATAGTAAAATCAAGACCCTATAATCCAAAATGTCATGCTGTCGTTTTAAATGAGTGGATGTCGTTTCAACTAATTTTGTATCCGTTTTTCTTTATTTTCACTCGTATGCACATGAACGAGTAGAAGTTTTTATTTCATTTGGACCCGAGTAACGATATAAAGTTTACAAGATAATGATCAATACTGTATTCCATGAGTAAATTGAATTAGACTTAACTATGAACGAAGGCAAGCAAATTCCATTATATTCTAATTATGAGATAAAATATTCAATAAATTACTGTATTTAACTTGTACAAGTCTTCTATGATGTTTCAAGTCTAATCGATTCTTTTTGCACTGAAATCAAGGCCCTGTGACCCGAAAACAGTATCATGTCAATGAAAAGGTTAGGTGTAATTTCAACTATTTTTGTGTTCGTTCCACTTTATGTTCACTCGTATTCCCTTCTACATTTCCAAGACTAAATTTTGAGGTGACAAAATACTTTTAAAAATAGCAACACTAGCATAGATAAGATAATATGAAGCAAATTATTTCTAAAGCAACACCTACAAGTTATTCCCATTTAAACTTTGCACGAGCTACTACTAAAACACCGAGCACCGAATACATCTAGTCATCAGAATCTACCAATTGCAAGATATAACTGCCAACTACCTACTAACTAAATGCATACTCATGCTGAAGTAAATTCTCAAATAAGGATGAAAGAGAGAAAAATGACCATGTAGATGTTCTCAAATCAAATGCCAAAATTAGCATGAACCTTGTTTTTAGGAAATTAAGCTAATGCTTGTGCTGTCAAATACGAACCCTTAAAAGGATTTAGTGAATGAATGAATCAAAATTTCAAAATGCTCTTGTTTCATTACAACAAAAGTAAACAACTAATCAAAACACTACCATCTAAACAAAATTAGCATCTGAGTCCTATATCATCCGATCACATAAAATTGAAAAATATACAAGGAAGACAATATTTAATCTTATTATCGAATATAAGTTTTACATATAATCCGGCCAACAAAAGTTCTATAAAGTTGATAGTGTATATTCCGCAATCTCATCGATCGACAAGAGATAACTGCCAGCTACCTACCGATGTGTCCGTTGCTTATCTCTGCTCATCATTCAATTGTGCGACCAAAAGCTTTTCTCCCCCAACCATCATCTAACATTTCTTAAGAATAGTAAGTCTTTGAAGGGAGCGTATTTTTGAAGGTATACCTTTAATTTTATGTTCAGTAGGAATCACAAACTCAAATGAGTATTCCATTTCTACAATAAAGGAATCACATACTAAAATGAGTGTTCCATTTCTACAATAAAAGACACAAAATGATTATGCTAATTAATCAATGAACAAATATAAAAAATTTACAGTAATGTTAAATGATACGTAGTACAATTCATTTTCAAAAATAGAAAAAAAATATCCGATATTTTCAAAATTACATCAACGGCAGGATGCAATTTTCAGAACTAGATAAACTTCATGGTGCCATGCTGAAATAACATATCAAATATCACAATCTCAACCAATTAAATGCAATTTACATCATAGAAAAACATGCAAAACATTACAAAGATATTAGTTACAGTAAAAAATCACGATATTCTATTACTTTACCATATTCCATTTGATGCAAATTACAAAATAGTACCAATTTGCTGAGACTTTAATGATATCACAGAATATCCATTTCATTACACTAATATTGCAACTAAAATGATATTTAAATATTTTCAACAAGCAAATACTTAAATATCTAATTTTTGATAGCACTTTCTATTAAATTGTCATCTTTGTTTTTACTTATTAGCTCAACACTAATTAGAATAAAAAAGAATCATATGTTGCTGGATTTTTTTTATTATTATTTTTTTATAAGTCAAGAAACAAAAATCTTTCAAACAATAAGTAGAGCATAAGAATAAGACAATTGTAGTATTTCATTTTTTGGAAAAAAAACAATTATTTGCTTGATTTCATCACGTAATTTCTATAAAGAAACAAGTTTAGGTTTGGTGAAAATGAATAATCTTGTGCAACGTCAAACACAATTAAGTCCTATTTACAACAAATGTAGACATAAATCAAATTCAAAATCACTTACGTTATTTACTTATAAGCCCATATGTATATGTTCAATATCTCATACTCAGAGCACTCCACTACATATTTTTTTCCCAATTTGCTTATATATCTACATCATGAAGAATAAACAAAGAAATAACATTTTTTCAAATTTGCAGTTACAGGAAGAAAGTTGAATTGTTAAGTATTTTTCGTATAATTCAAAGCAATAATGAAAAATATAAAGAAAAAATTGAGTTCCAAAAGTCAATCACAACATACAAAAAATTAATAAATTTAAAGGCCTAAAAAAGCCCACCCTATTTGTATAATTCTTTCTGGCACAAATTTCTCAAAATTTTTTATTTTTGCATAAAATCGTATTAAAAATGAAAAATTGAGAAATTATATATACTCGAGGATAGCCTGCTGTGAAATTGGTTCTTAGAAGTAGTTATTCATGTATGTGTGCTTTTTTTGCGAGTTTCGATCTTGGGTAAATTGATGAAACCTTTATACCAAATTCCTCATTTCACTTAAGAAAACGAAGGAAATCGATTTTGAATGGTAAAAGTATTTGGAGATGAAGAAGCCACGAAGAAAAAATAAGGGGGGTTGGGGATTGTGAAGAGAAAACAAAGATGATAGATTTAGGATTCTGAAATTCAATTGATTTGAGAAAAGAAAATGGGGAATTAAGTTTTCTAGTGATGCTAAATAAGGGTGTTTTATGTAGTTTATAAATTATGATTTAGGGGCCGTTTGAGTCCCATTATTTGTATATTATAATGAGATGAATAATATTTTTTTGAAAAATGAATGACTGAAAAGTTTTTGATTTACGTGTAATATTATTTTATTGAAAATTGTGTGGTTAAAAGTATGAGAGAAAAAAATTTAATTTAATGTAATAAGAAATAATGGGGCTCAAACGGGGATTTAATATATTTATTTTAAAAACATTATTTCTGGTCAAAAGGCTAAAATCCCAAAATGTATTATAACATAGAGCAATGGTACTCGTACAAAAATTATTGTATAAAACTCTTACAAAATACACACATCTGAAAAGTTTTTGATTTACGTGTAATATTATTTTATTGAAAATTGTGTGGTTAAAAGTATGAGAGAAAAAAATTTAATTTAATGTAATAAGAAATAATGGGGCTCAAACGGGGATTTAATATATTTATTTTAAAAACATTATTTCTGGTCAAAAGGCTAAAATCCCAAAATGTATTATAACATAGAGCAATGGTACTCGTACAAAAATTATTGTATAAAACTCTTACAAAATACACACATTCAAGATGAGTGAGTTATTCTTTACAATATTTTAATTCACTCTATCTCAAACACATCTATAAGAATTCTGAAATTTTTTCTCTCTAAAATAAGCATTAACCTATAACATAGGCTATTTGACCCAATTACCACTTTTCTTTAAACATCTAGATTTGATTTTAAAAGGTTGAACCCTAACTTCCAACTTTAAGGATCCTCCACCGCCCCTGCTCTAGAGCATTATGAGAGAGGTAAATCGTAGATTATGCTTCCAAGAGTAAAGGGTGGAAGGTTGTTTATACACTTGCACTTATCCAAAAACCAAATTCACATTTCAGGAACTTTTGACACGATAGCCTCAAACAAAACTGAATTTATCCGCCCTCCCTTTTACCCATTGGAAATGTGCAGCGAGGCTCTAGATTTGATTCTACTGCCTTTGTCTTGTGGTGAAACAAGACATCCGGCGTCTGCGATTCTCAAATCCGAATCCGCACTCCGCAGAATTGGGAGAAAATCAGTTCTGTCGCTCAAATACTCACGTGGATTTGCAGTTTTGTATGTCAAACAAAGAGATAGACACACCCCAACCAATTAGGCTTCTTGAATTTTGAATTTTTGTTCACTCTGTAGTCGAATCCAACCGCCATGAAGTGGTACGCTAGTAATAATAATTGAAAAGAGAAATTCATTTCCTTACCAAGCGGGAGTAATGGATGACACAAAAAAAACAGTGTCATTGTACGTCGACAACGGGTACGAAGGAAGAGGCGCCGGGGGAAAGTTTCGGAAACCGTCAGGGAGGAAGCTACCGGCCAAGCCTTATTACCGTCCGCCGCCGACCAATAATCAAAATGGCCGGGGCTGGTTGTCGAAAATTGTCGATCCTGCCTGTCGTCTTATAACTGGCGGCGCCACCAAGATCTTCCCTTTATTCTTCTCCAAATCGGCCTCCTCTCCCGCTCTTCCTCTATCGGAGAACAATGGTTAGTCACCGTGCTGGTACATTGACATTAAATTTTTCTTTTCATCCGTTTATTTGTGTTTATATATTGATATTATAACGATAGCATCTCAATACATTAGAGTTTGGGAAATAAATACAATGGAAAAGGGTGAATAATTGCATGTTTTTATAATTATTTGTGATCTTTTTGGTGAATTGGGGTTTTAAAGGTCCGCATTACACGAGGCTGGAAAATATATTTTTGAATATTCTTTGTATCTCATGTGGGTGCTAGGAGAAGTTAAAAAAAGAGAGTGGGTGTTTTTATAGTTCGGGAAAATCCTTTTAGACGCTACCAGTAAATCCCATTAAGCTTTGGTGGGCTTATCGTTGATGAGTTAACATTAAATAGGGTATTTAGTGTACTTTTTATGGAAGAAAATGGATAATGGTGCGTTATATTGGATCAAGACATAATTTTTTGATTGTTAGAACCACTGAAGCTGTAGTGTCACCCCCATGTAGAAGATTTTTACCTTTTTATCTGATTTCAATTTTACTTTACCTTTCAAGTTTTTATTACTTGGCTTTGGATACTTTTCTGGGAGCCTTAATTGATTTATTTTGTACACTGCTGGTCTCATTTTACCTGCATTATTGATACTACAGTTTATTGAACTAGGAATGCAGAAGACAAGCTTGTCATTGGAGAGATCTAGAATCTAGAATATTCAATTATTTAGATCAGTGTTTCCCAGTTAAAGATGATTTGACATGATGAAAATTAGTGAAGGTCACATTTAAAAAACCTACAGAACAGGAATTTTGTTCTCTACGTTGGTTTTTGCAAGACATGTTTCTCTTGTTTCATGTACTCTCATATCAATGTCATATGTTAGTAGAGAGCATAAGGGGCCTAGGCTATATATCTTTGTGGATGAAGAGTGAAAAGTTTTGGCTTGGAATAGATCACGGGAAGGCCGGGCATCCAAAGGCTGGTCATGATAGACTACTCATATCTCTTACTTTGCACAACTGCACTTGCATCACGCTGTATGGAATTTTTTTCCCTGTACGCAAAGAAACTAGCATAATATATATTTATGGTGACATCACGCTGTAATACTTGGGAAATATGAGTGTATCTCGCAAAGGTAAAATTGAAATTTTGAACGGTAATAAATTGAAATTGGTGAGAGCAGAAAAATGCAACCCTGAAGCAAATATACTATTTTCTAGTTTCTACCTGCATTGATTTTTGAATTAAACTACTTGTACACTTTGTGTACATTAAGTTTGACATTCCAAGATTCACCTCACAACAATGTCAAACTTATTGCAACTGTAGCAAAACTGTTGATTTTATTATATAAGAATATTTTGAATTAATTGAATTCAAGATAGTGTTAACATTTTGGATTGTATGGATTACAATTATAGCTTGATTATGATTAATGATATACCAGAAGCCTTCTTTTTGTGCAATTTCGGCTGATTTTCTTTGTGTTTGTATGTTGTGTTCTAGATCATTTAACGGTTCATTTATGTTTATGCTATTCGATAAAATCTTTTACAATATTCTGTGCTCTCCTTGTCTTTTTATCTGTTTAAGACTTGTATCTTTTTACCTGCGCAGATAGACCGGATGCTGAACTGCCAGCAAATGCTGAAGATAGTGTCAATGGCAGTACAAGTGTAAGTGTGCAACGCAAAAATAAATTTTCAATTTTTTTATGCTTGATTAAATATGTGCCTATGTGATAAGGTAGCAATCACTAGTCTATAAATTTAACATAATTATGACAGGGAAGTTTTGAAGAAAGCCAAATTACTTTTAGAACACAATTTTCGATTTCTCATTCTCATTTTTTTTTTTTTTTTTTTTTTGATAGTTATGTTTCTCATTCTGTTCCAATTATGAATCCTTTGGAAGGAACTCCCTAACATGATTAGATAATTTTAGACCATTTTGTTATAGGAAACGTATAAAGCCAAACTATGATGCACTATTCAACGCATCTTTAAAATTACTCCAGGTGTAAGAGCATCTCCAGGAGATTTTTTAGAAGTGAGATCCTCTTTATTCTAAAATGTCAAATCTGAAAAGTCATGCTCAAAAGACTTTATTTTTACTTTTTAATAGTTTGGCTGTCTATAACTCACTCTCTATTTGAATTTTATCATGATTATATCTAATAAAATTTCAAGTATCAATGCTCCACCGCATAAATATTTTACGTATTGACATCTAAAAAAAAGTATATCGATTGAAAAATGAGGGAAAAACTGTTTGAGGAAAGAGAGGTTTACTAATTTGGATTGGCTAAGGCTTTTAAGGAGGACAATACTAATAGGAAGAAGTAAGTGAATAAAAAGGAAACTTCTATTTCTTAATTTCAAAACTTATACACATGGCTTGTTACAAAATGGAGAGACCCTATTCCTTTATATAGGATTTACAAGAAATTTCTGGGCCACACATTTTTTTAGAGACTTCTAGGTCACATATTTACATGAGATTTCTAGACCACATATTTGAACTAGATATATTATAGGAAAATATTCTAGATATAGTTTTCAAAACCACATAATTTACTTGACACATTACTATATTATGACCACATCTTTTACTTAGATATTTACATAGATCTTTCTAGAAAATGTTTCTTGAAATGCTAGGCTTTGTTGGGCTTTTTATTTGAATTGAGCTTATGAGGAAAATCCTGAAGTCCATAATACTTGGTCCAAAATCAGGTTTACTTATCAACATCCTTTTTAAACTTGAGTTTGCTACTCCAAGTAGATTTCTTAGCTTGCGGAACACGTTATGCTTGAGTGGCTCTGTGAGAATGTCTGCGATTTGCTCTTGAGAGGTTACATACTTTAATTGCACCTTTTTCTTTGCAATGCTCTCTTACGAAGTGATACCTTGTATTGATGTGTTTGCTTCGATCGTGAAATATTGGATTCTTTGTCAATGCTAGTACTGATTTATTGTCAACATAGATATTTGTCGGTTCATCTTGTGAGACTCCAAGTGTTTTCAACAAGTCTCTAAGCCAAATCGCATGGCAAACACTTGAAGTAGTTGCAATATATATTGAGCTTCACATGTAGATAGCGACACGATCGATTGCTTCTTCGAGCTCCAAGTGAATGCAGTGTCGTCCAAGTAGAACATGTATTGAATAGTGCTCTTTCTATCATAAGTGTCTCCGCCCCAATTATTGTAACTATATCCAACAAGTTTGAATCCATTAGATTATGAATAGATTAAACCATAGTCAACCGTACCTCTGATGCTACGAAGAATCCTCTTTGCAGCTTTTATATGAGTCATGGTGGCTGTTTTCATATGACGACTGATGAGCCCAACTCCAAAAAGGATATATGTTCTTGTCATGTCAAGTATCTTAAACTTCCGACAAGACTCCTAAAGAGTGTTGGATCTACTTTTTTTACCTTAATCATACTTCGATAACTTGGTTCCGCATTCGACGGGGGTGCACCATTTTGGGGTGCCGAGAAAAGCCCGAGCCAGCCCGTGTGGCTCGTTGGCTCAGGCTCACAAGCCTATATTAAAAGAAAAAAAAAGATATATATATATACACATACATATATATATACATATACACATACATATATATATATATATATATATATATATATATATATTTTTTTTTTTTAAAAGGCAGAAGGTTGTTGCCTTGTTTGACAGCAACCTGCTTTCCTCTTTTTTAATATAAAAAAAAAAACCCACAACCAAAATCGAGCCTGTCGGGCTCGGCTCGAAAAGGTCCGAGCTAAAAGCTCGGGCGAGCCTAATCTTTTTAACTAAGCTTTTGCTCGGCCCGGCTCAGGCCCAAAAAAAGCTCGATCATTTTACCCCAGCTGAGCCCGGGCTCGGCTCGTTGACATCCCTAAAAGTACTTATCAATTTTACTATTCCATGCCTTTAGAGCTTGGTTCAACTCATATAAAGCTTTTTTTAGTTTTAAGATTTTATTTTCATACCTTTCTATTTTATATTCCATTGGTCGCGAAACTTCTTCTTCAAGATAACCATTAATTTTACATCCATTTGAAAAATCTTCCACTTATTTTGTGCGGCAAGAGAGATAACTAATTTTATGGTTTCTAGGTGAGCAACGGGGGCAAATACCTCTTTATAGTTGATCCCCGGCAGTTGGTTGTAGTCTTTGGCAACCAATCTTGTTTGTATCTCTTCATCTCTCCTTTAGCATTCTTCTTGGTTTTGTACACCTACTTGACTCTGATTGCTTTTTTTCCTTTGAAAAGAGTCAACTCCCACGTGTCGTTCTTCTCAATAGCCTTAATCTCTTCATCCATGGCGTCTCTCTATCTTTTACTTTGCGCTGCTTTTTCATATCCTATTAGCTCACAATCGACAAAAAGACAACAAAGAGAGAGATCATTTTGATTATCTATTACCTCATACTATCTTGTAGGCTCCTCATCTGTGGTGTGCTTTTGCTTGAGCTTTCTCTTTGTGTAGATGATGGCGAAGCTTGTCCCTGAGTAGATGATGTAGGTGGACTTGCTGCTCTCTATTCTCTTGTTTTTCTTCCTCAAAGAAAGGTAAGAAGTCATAGTTTTCTTTTTGGACACCCCAATCCCAAGTTCCTTCATCAAAATCGACATCTCTACTTATGGTGATCTTCTACTTACTTGGATTATACAATTTGTAGCCTTTAGAGCTAGAGTTATAGTCGATAAAGATATACCTTTCATTTTTATCATCTAGCTTGGACTGCTTTTGATCTAGCACATGAGCATATGCAATGCTCCCAAATACTCTTAGGTAAGAGATGCTGGGCTTCCTTCTACTTCATGCTTCTTGTGGTGTCATATTCCACACACTTCTAGAAGGTGATCGATTAGATAGGTACATAGCTCAATTAACAGTTTTAGACCAAAGTTCTTCGGGCAATCTCTTACTTTTGAGCATTCAGTGAGCTATGTTAAGAATAGATCTGTTCTTTCTTTCGGTCACTCCATTTTGTTGTGGAGAGTATGGAACCGTCAATGGACGACGAATTCTATTATTCTCACAATATTTCTCAAACTCTTTAGAGGTGAATTCTCCTTCTCTCTCTGATCTCTTGGCTGCTATGCTATAGTCACTTTCTTTTTCAACAAGAGTTTTATACTTCTTGAAAGTTCTAAAAACTTTTGATTAGACTCATCTCTTTCTACTAAAATCATCGATGAAGAGAACAAAGTAATTGTTTTTCAATCATTTTTCAAATTTCATTATTGTTTGTATTGATGATCTTATATTTTCAGAAAGTATAGAACAACATTTCTAACATATCAATACATTCATACATATTATCAAGAAAAATGGATTAGCAGCATTTGCTAAAAAGATTGTTTTATATCAAACAAAAATCCGTTTTATAGGTCACAATATTCAATTAAGGACAATTATTCCAATTTAGAGAAATCTAGATTTTACTGTAAAATTTTCTGATGAAATGTTAGAAAAACCTTCTCTCCAAAGATTTCTTGGTTGTGTCAATTATTTCGGAGACTTTATTAAAGAGATAAGATTGATCTTGCCCCTTTTTTCAAAAGATTACAAATGAACTCGGACCCATGGAGTCACGAGCATATTGTTGCTGTCTAAAAAGTCAAAAAAGCTGTCAAAAAATTCCATGTCTATCAATTCTTGATCCTAATGCCTCCATTATTGTTGAAACTGATGCCTATATTTAGGTTTTGATCTGATTTTTGTAAGAATTTCTCGTACATGATTTTTGCGAATGATGTCTTTTTCTTCAGGGCTGTAATGTTTTGATGAGATATTTGAATCTTGTACTGGAAGGTTTTTAGACAAAGTACTCCAAATAGTAATAATTTATTTAGCTGAAAAATACTTTTTAGTAAAAAGAGTAACATTGAATTTTTCTTCTTCAACAATCCATTCTGGAAGAATGGTTGAAAATTCAATTTTGAGGGTTTTAAATTTGAATTCAAAAAGATGATTAATAACCCTCTTAAGAAAGCTATTAAAAAGAGAAATATTAATATTTGAATTAATATGTATTGAAGAAATAAATCCTCATTTAGTCATTTAACGAATTTCTTCATTAATGAAATTAATGATTGAAATACCTTTTGAAGGTAAAATGTAATATATGATTGACTTTCACTAGTCTCAATGCCATTGAAATAAAAATTATCAAATATTTTGAATATAATATATTTAAATGTTTGAGAACAAGTAGGATCTCTATTGCTAATATTTTGATAAATATCTTCCGGAAGTTGTAAAACTTTCTTTATAAAACTTTTTCTTTTCTTTTTTAAAAAGAATAAATTTTTGAAAGAAAAATCTTTTGAAGGATTTTGAAGATTTTTTTCATCATTATTGAATTATTTTGTAACTACTGTAAAAAAATTTCGATAGTATTTTTAAAACATCTAATAATATCTTTATTACTTCTTTGATAGTAAGTAGTAAGAATTTCATCTAGATTTTTTTTTGAAATTTAAAAAGTTTTTTATGAATGTTGAATTCATAAATCTTTGGTTCAGTTCCTAAAAAGGAATCTGATTGATGGTGAAATTTTCCTTTATTCAAAGAAGATGATTCTTTGATTGAGAAATTTTGATCTTCAAAATTTGTTGTAGAGTTTCTTAGAAAGGGGTTTTGCCAGAAATTTGAATATTTTCTTAGATTCATGAGCCAGAAATTTGATTATTTTCTTACATTCATGATTTTGTCTCTAAAGACTGTAGAAATTCTCTTATGAGGAAGTCTGTAAGATAGTTTGAGTTTCCTTTTATATATAGTATTTTGAAATCAAAACATGACAAAATAGCTTGTCCTCTAGCAAAGATTTGTTTTGAAATAAGATTTTTGACGTCTTTTTGCAAAACTTCTTTAGATGTTTTGCAATCAGTCTTTAAAATGAATTATTTATTAATTAAATTGTTTTGAAATTTTGAAATACCTAATACAATAGATAAAATCTTCTTTTTGATAGTTGAATAGTTCTTTTGAGGACCGGTCCATACCACCATGAAACCTAACCAACTGTTCTCTAAGAAGCACCGATACTTGTAAACTTGTTACGTACACGTATCCGATACGTCGATACTCTTTGATACCCTTCGATACGTACTGGATATTTGTTGTTTAATTATTTTATATATTTTTATGGGCTTGTTTGAGCCACATTATTTTTAAAAAAATACATTTTTCAACAGTGATTTGATATCATTTCAATCACACATTCTTCGATAAAATAATATTACACGTAAATTTAAAATTTTTCCTTATTTTTTAACCACACATTTCTCATAGATTTGACATGAATAATGCATTTTTTTCTATAATGTGGTTCAAACATGGGCTATATTTTTTACGTATCCCATATGTATTTTTTAATTATTTTATAATTTTTGTATGATTTTTGATACGTATTTGATATTTCATGATTAACATGCACCTTCACTACAAAATATTACTTTGAAACTTTTTGTGCAACCTTTTTCTTCATCTAGTGCCATACTCTTTTGTACACATTACGAGAAGGAATAAAATAACTCTACCAGTTGAAGAATTGGTTTTCATTCATAGCAATTTGCGTCTTTTATAAAAAAATTAGATCTCTATTCGAAAGGAGAATTCAAAATATGAGACATTGTTGAAAACTCTTTTGATACTCTTGAAAGTGTTAGACTGCTTGAGGTTGCTAATTTATCATTAGACGAGGCAGAGTTCAATATTGTTATTTTCAATAATAATGAAGAAATTGTTGTTGATGTCGAAGGAAATGAAGTTTCTACAATTAATGATTAAGATAAAATGCTTTGGTATTTTATTTATTTTCATTATTATGTTTCTGTATTAATGTTTTTTAATATTAATAAATTTATGTCGAATTTTATAACACGTATCAGCGTATCCCAAATTTTTCAAAAAAGTCGTATCGACGTATCCGTATCGTATCGTTCCCGAATCACCTATCCATATCCGTGCTTCTTAGACTGTTCTTGACTTAACTCTTTTGGAATTTGTTTTAACACTCCATTAAAGTCTAAATCAGAGGCATCAGTTTCGACAATAATGGAGGCATTAAGATCAAGAATTGATAGACATGGAATATTTTTGACATTATGCTCGTGACTCTATGGGTCCGAGTTCTTTTGTAATCTTTTGAAAAGAGGGGCACAGATCAATCTTATCTCTTTGATAAAGTTTCCGACATAGTTGACACAACCAAGGAATCTTTGAAGAGAAGATTTGTCTAACATTTCATGGCGAAATTTTTCAGTAAAATCTAGACTTCTTTAAATTCGAATAATTGTGTCTAATTGAATATTATGACCTAAAAAGGGATTTTTGTTTGACATAAAACAATCTTTTTGGTAGATGTTGCTAAATCATTTTTTTTGATAATATGTATGAATGTATTGAAATGTTGTTCTATACTTTCTAAAAATATAAGAACATCATCAATATAAACAATAATGAAATTATCGTTCATAATTTTTTGAAATTCAAAAGGGACATTTTTAAAACCGAATGATATAGCGTTCCATTCATATTGACCAAAAGGAACATTGAAAGCAGTTTTGTATTTATCTTTTTTAATTTGAATTTGCCATAATTCTGGCTTCATATCAAATTTTGAGAAGATAACAGTTTTGAATAATCTATTCAAAAGATTTTTCTTTTAAGGAAGTGGATAACGAATCCATTAGAGCAGTATTAAGATGCTTATAATTGATTGCAAGACGAGGAGCACCTCTTTTAATTTCAGTCGAATTATTGATATAGAAAGCCGAGCAACTCTAAAGGGATTTGCTTGGACGAATTAAGCTTTTGTCAAGTAAATATTTGATTTCCTTTATACAAAAGTCCAACAATTCCTTTTTCATCTCTAACACGGTTGGTCCCCTATCCATATATCTTTCTAGAACTTTCTTGTTTTCCCATCTCCCACCCCTATCACTTAAAGTCACCTCGTGAGCCAAGGAGAGTGGAAGTGTGTAAAGTAGGCTCAGCTTCTTTGGTTTATAAAGATCTTGTAGTAGCCGAAGGTAGAAATTCTGCATATTTTGACCAATTCAAGGTGTACTTCTTGGTTGTGAATATTTGAACTGGTTGTTCGCTGTTTAAGAATTCTTGTTTGGGCAGTTTATATTAGGATGAGATTTCGTTGAAATATTAGATTCATGAAAATTAGAATTGTAAGGAATAAATTTTTCTGTTAAAAAATAGTATTTCTAACTTTCTCAGCAAATAGCTTTGGAAGTTCAGAAATAAATTTTTCTTTCCAATAGGATTGTTGATAGTCATCTCGTAACATAATACAAGACAAGAACATATCTTTATACCATCGGAAATATTGAAGCTTAGGACATCTTAAATTCATCAAAATATCATTTTGAATTTGTAATAAATTTGTAGGGGATCCAATGAAATGGTTAATAATAGTACAAGCTAAAACATTGTAACTATCATTAATAGCTTGGCTGTCTTGAGTTGTAATAATAGTTCCATTACTATCTCTTTTGACAGCGTTGATTATTGAATTTCTTTCAGCCTGGGATAGATAATTAATCCACCATTGATCAAGCTGTCTAGTAAAACCAATAATGATATTATTAACGGCGTTATTGGCATTGATTCCTTTGCCTATCTATGTTTTATAACACATAGTCACGGTCATGATGATATTGATAATTTGATATTCAGTAAGACCATCAAAATTCCACTCGACACTAGTTGCACCATCAGAAATCTTTTGAGGTTTTGCTTTTTCTTCAAAAAGCAAATCGGGTTGTGTAGATTTTGGATAATATGTTAGAAATTTTTTTAATTTATTGATAAAATTAAAATTTTCATCAATAAATTGATTTTCAATTTTATCAATCGTATTGATATTTTATTGAATGGCTAAATTTTTTAATTGAAAAGAGAGTTCTTTAAGAACATCAGATTCTGTTTTTAATTTTGAAGTTTCTGCTTTTCAAATTGAGGTAATAAATCATTTGGATGAAAGATGGTGGTTTTAGAATTGAAAGATTTTTACTCATCACTTTCTTTAAACTCTTTTTTAGAGGTTTTAGAAGTGACTTCGAATTCAGAATTTATTTAAATTTTGTTGAGTTGAGAACATAAAGATTGACGAGTAATGTTGGTATAATTGTTCTGAGCTCGAATATTTTTGATATCTTTAGCAACAATTTGAGAATCATCAAGTTGTTCTTTAGATATCCTTTTGAGAGGGGAAGCAAGAATTTCAATATTTATATGAGAAACCATAATTTCTTGCATAGGAGGATGAGAAGATTGAATATTATTATTGTTATTATTTTTTTCTATATATCTAGTTTTCAGATGTTAAGATTTGGTGAAAAGAAGGAAAACGGTGTAAACGAATTTGTAAAGATGATTTGTTAAGTTTGCCTGATCTTGTATACATTGTGTTCTTGGATAAGGTGATTAGCTTAAACTTCTGCCGAGGCGTGTGGTGTCTTAAGTATTTGGACAGTGTTTATCAGTGTGATAGGTGTCTAAGCTGAGTTTCTGGGATAGCTGATGAGTGATGAGTTGAATTAATGGTTGAATTTGGAAACGTTGGGATGATACGTGCCATCTTTATGCACTGGTTGCTTTTCCTTTTATATAGCATCAATTAGTTTTTGTTATCAGAGCCTAAGAAAGAAAAATGCTGCTGATCTAAGAAATTTACTGTTATTTCATTGTATTAAATATCAATACAACTGTCTGATTAAGAAAAAAAGCTTTACTTGTTTCATTCATACCTTTGGTTTTATTGAAGCTCTTTGAGTTGATTCAGTATATCTTTACGTACTCCCTTCTGTTTTAACTTGCTTATAATATGTTGAAAACAAGCTCAAAATCACGTGCATGCAGTCTCTACCTTTCAGATCTGCTGAAATAGGTGGTCCAAGTGAAGTTGCTGATGGATTGAACCTAGTTTTTGATCACAATGAGTTTGGACAAGACAAAGTAAAAACTTCTAGTGATGGTACTGACTTTTCCAGGTTCGAGCAGCTGTTGAAAGGAAAAACTTTTTCCAAGTAGGCTTTTCGTTAATTGACTTTTGTCTTATTTATTTTTACTTATTATCATCTCCGTAGTAGATATAACCTTCTGTAATTGGAATTTGTACGAAAGAATGGATTCAGTTGCTACACATGGTGATTTGAAGCTGGAAACCATTTTTTCCCTTGTCAGATATATGCATGATTGTTAGATTGAGGCATCAAGAACGTGACGTTTGGCCTATCTTGTAAGGGATTGTTGTAGTAAGGTCCAAATGAATAGTGCTTAGGAAAGATTTCCAGCCTGGTCGTGATGGATAAAGGGTTTGACGGCACCTCTCCTATTAGCTATATGCTTATTACTTTAGGGAGAAATGGCTTGGTTGCGTCGCGTACCCTACATCAGCTAATATTAGAGCAGGAAGTCTTGTGTTCGATAGAATGATGCCAAGCATCACTTCATTATGAACGTGGGCCTATCTCGTAAGGGATTCTTGACATAAGTCTCATATAAACAGTGCCTGGGGTGGATACTCTGGCCTGGTTGTGGGTGTGAAAGGACTTGAATGCACCTGTCCTTCTAGCTATAGCTTTTCGGAGAAATGGTTGCATCACCATGTATAAACCAAGCATCTTGCCATTTTTCCTTGAGCCACTTGCATATATTCACAGCACAATTGTAATTCAGTCAGTCTTATCTTAACATGTCAAGCATTCGTCAAGCTTCTATCATAATGCTCATCCTGCTGTGCTATGCAGAGAGGAAATCAACCATTTGCTAGAAATATTGAATTCTAGGGTGGACATGGAGGGGGAAAAGAAGAATCCTAGTGGAGAAGATGCTGAACGGGTTTTGTTGACACAAGAAATTCCTAGAACACCAGTTGAAGAAAGACAACAAGATACAAACAGACCTCTCATTGGAACTCCTATTCAAAAATCAGATGTGAGTGTACTATGGTTTTCCTGATTTGATTGGTTGCACGCATATTTGCTACTGTGGCTAATATCAAGGATATATATTGTATAATTTGTGTAGCTTAAACATTTATCTAAATATTCTTTTGGAGAAAATGCATTAGAATCTAATGCATGGAAGACTTTATTTTCTTGGCACAAATTATATCTTCATGAAACTGGACAGGTTACACGGTCACCAAAAATCCCTAGAACACCACTTGAGAGAAAGCAGGAAGACAGAGACAGACTTATTGCAACTTCTCTCCAAAAAGCAGATGTGAGTGCACTTCATGTCTCTTAGCCCACTGAATAGTTCTGCAGCTGTTGTCACTATTTTATACTTTTCAATAGCTGTAACCTAAATGTTGATGAAATTTTTTCTTTTTGAAGATTGTTTTACAAATATAATGCATGGAGGACTTTATTTCACAATATTTTACAGGTTAAAGATGCTATTGGTGCCTCCCCAGTTGATATTGCTCAGGCATATATGGGTAGTTGTACCTCAGAACGAGGCCATGACCCCTATAGTTTCATGTCAAAAAGCAGAAGAGCTCAACAATTTAGCAATGAATTTGCAACAAAGCCAATTATGCCACCCCCTTCGCCTAAACCATCCATTTGTTGGCCTGGTGCCGAGGTACATGATGGTCGTGGTTATGTAACACCGCAGAGTCAAAGAGGCAGATATGGACATTTTGATTTTCCTAGAACCCCATATTCTAGAACCATAGCATCCAAGTCTAGAGACAAGGTATATGAAGTTAATTGACTTTTGTGAAGTATGTTACAGTAATATTCAGAGACTGATAATTAAATTGTCTACATGATTTTGCTGCCCAGTTACAGGCTGATAGCAAGTTCCAGAATAGATCATCTACTCCCTTTCAGCAAGCTCATACATCCATTTATGGGCAGGTACACATTTAGGTTTTTATAATTAATGCATGCTAGCATAGCATAGTAATTTTCTATTTTCATGCTCTATTGATAACTTGTCCTCTAGAAGACGTTGTCATGATGTCCTGTATTATGTAATTAAGATTTCAAGATTGAGTCTTGAAAAGAATTTGACTGAATTATATGGTCCTAGTGAGGCTGAATATGCATGACATTGCACTTCTACACTGTCACATTTGACTTCTATTTTTAGCAGCTATGAAATGGGGGTGATGCAGTTGATAGCTATGGGTCTGTGGGGCCTATTCGTCGGATTAGGAATAAGTTTGCATCAGAAGTTCGACCGAGAGGATCTATTTTCCACAAATCATCTATAGATGCTCATCCTGAAATGGTAAAATCAACTTTTTCTGAAGGTCTCTTGCCTAGTACAGAAACGAAATTGGAACGTGGTGAAACAAGTAGTGCTTCTAAGTACATGATAGAGGAACCTGCTGTAGGTGGCTCTGAATCAGGATTCAAAAATCTAAATCAGTCTTCTTCTAGTGAGGCAGCTAGAAAAATATTAGAACATCTTGACAGAAACAAACCAACGCATAAAGAAAAGGCAGCTGAATTGAAGCTTGCCACTACATGGAGAAAAACTCCTGATGAGGCTTCTGATACCGTTCCCAAGGCAAATGTCAGCTCATTGCAGTTTGGAGAACTTGGTTCTCATAAGAACGCCAGTTTCGTCAGCCAGAAGATTCCCAGGGAGTTCAAAAATGATAGCAGCAATGCAAGTTTTCCAGTTCAATTTCAGGAGAAAGGCGGGGATGAAGTTAATTGGAATGCTAATGAAAATGCCAAAGCTTCTAATACCGGAGTGCTTTTTCCTAGTATGATCCCTGGTTCCAATGAAATACCGACTTTTGGTTTTAAGAAAACTTTTGATCCCCAGGTCAAGAATTTGGACAAGGTACTTTGTTTCTGTTAAGTTACTGTTTGATCTTAATTCTTAATGGATGTTAGTTTTTGCTCTATATATGCCAATGTGTAGTTTAATTAACACGTTAGTGGTTAATTTGTCATGTCAATGTATAAAGTTTAATTTCATAATAATAATATCAATGATCCAGCTTATAACAACACTAAAATAATAGCTACTGGCTAAGTATCACCACATGCCTGCAGCCACCTAACTAAAGTAGCAGAACTCATAGCGCTATGGGCTATTAAAATGCTGTTTGATCAATCTTGTTCGGTACCATGTGAGCCTGATGTTAACTTGTTAATCCCCAAAATAGTAGTGATTGTTCTGAAACGTAGGCTCTGAAGATTACTGATTATACACTTTCACCCCCCAATTGATTGCAACCTCAATATCAAGATCAGGAAAATCTTTATGACGATTCCTCAGCGCCCGATTTTGTGCAGTTTGTGTGAGGCTTTAAACTTGTCCTTGTTAGATTTCTAGTTTCCGTGGAATAGGTTGTCGTATCTCCTGGTTTATTTTTTGGAGACTCTGAATTGATTTTTGTTGCTCTTGATGTAATTAATGAGCTAGCAAGCAAAGTTAAATATTAATTTATGGAGGTCATTCTCCTCTGAATCTGTAGTGCCCACGCTACTCAGCATGGGATTTTAATTAAGAAAACAGTTAAATGTTAAATAGACATGCATACTTGAAAACTTGCTAGCTCATTAATTTATGGTAGCCATTGGCCCATTAGGACATGACTGTCGTGTTTTTTGCAGCAAAAGCAGATACTGCTCTGATTATATCCTGAAAAATTTCTAGCTCTTAGACACCCAATTGTTATAAACTTGTATCTGGCTGTGTAATAGAGAAGTTTTTGGTCAAAATTAACCAGCTTTTAACTGTGGATTTGCTATATGTATTCTTGCTAACTTCGGATAAATTTTTCTTGTCATCTGTGCAGCAAAATTTTAATTGGTATCTGGCAAATTAAGCAACCTTGTTCTGTTTTGTCTGGTTACTTTAAAATAGTTTTGGCTTTTTACAAGTTTGAATAAATTAATTTAACCATTCCTCACTTAAAAGAGGTTTCTAAGTGTAAGATTGATAGTATTGGTATAAACATTAAACATTGTTTGCTTCTCTTTCTATAGCAGTTTGGTTCCGATTCTTCTTGCATTATTTCAAACTAAATTTTTGATAATATAGTAATATCTGAATCAAAAAGGGTGTGTCTATAGCCAACTTCCAGTCTTGGAATTGTGACCAATTACTTAATTTGGCTTAATAATGTATTGAACTTTTTAACTTGGATTTAGTTACGATTTATGTAGTAAGCAGTAGTGAAAGATGTAATTTCTGCTCGGGCTCTTCGTAGCTTTCAAAAGGTAGTACACGACGTGTAATTTCAATGGATGAAAAGCTCAGAAATGTGTCAGCAGCCAGAAATAAATCTTGTCAACTTTACTGTGCAAATTATTGTTTTGCAATGTCTTAATTGCACATGATTTTTGTTAAAGATTTTGACATGCTTGAATGCTATGTAGTGGAAAATCGTTTTGACAATGCCATTTTTGCAGAAGTCTTTCGTCATAACCAGCAATGGGCAGAAGGAGATGACCAATCCCACTGGCCTTGTGCCATCCAAGGATCAGTCGACTCTTTCTCATGGAAAAAAAAATCAATTTTGCCATCAATTTCCATCGGCAGGCCCAATCCCTATGCAGTTTCTTCTGATAATGGCCGTGGCTTCACTTTCCCCGTTTCTGCAAGTTCAGGGTTCCTCTCTGAACCGCCAACTCCTTCTATAGTGCGTTCATCTTCAACAAGTGCTCCATCTCAGCCAAAGGATGTGACTGCTGCTGTTCCTTTTTACAGTTTTGACACAAATAAGTCTACTTGTCTTGTTTTCTCATTTCCGTCTACAAGCAGTATCTCAGAACCCCATGCTTCTGATCTTAAGTTTCAGTTTGGATCAGATAAGAAGGCTAGATTATCTTTTAGTTCCTTAGGGAAAGACACCATCTGCTGCTGATCATGTGGGGTTAGTTTTATTAGTTTCTTTTTCTACTGTTACTGTTTTTATATCTTCTAATTTTTTCTTCGACATCTTTTACAATACTTCTCAGTGTATTCTTACTGATATTTTCATTAATAGTTTTTATAATTTGTTTCTCACTCTCTAACTTCTACGAGTTGATTCATCTTAGAGTTCTAAATCGAAAATAAGTTTGTCTGGCAGGTTTTGATGGATTAGCTCGTTTTTGGGTAAATAAATGGGTTTGTTTAGCCTCTACTTATAGCTTTACCAATTCATAAGCTTCTTCTAATGAAGCTTGTAAGTTTTTTTAGTGATTACAATTTGCAAGCATCAACAAGTTTTCTTTCAGTTTTTTCATTTTTTTTTTTTGGACTTCCTGTTCTATAAAATTAGTGTTTTAGAATTGATCTCTTGCCTTCACTGGGGAGAATAAAAACTTCACGATGTAGATGTGGTAGAAAAAATCGTAAGCACGGTTCTTTGAATGTATGACTATTGCAGGGAACCATAAGGTTTTCTTACCATGTTAACTGTGAAAAGTTTTTATATCTGATAAGTGTTTTACGTTGTTAAAGTTATTTCGAAAACGGGTTGATATAAGTTTTATCATCTATATAAATGAATGAATTTGATTATTATTTTGATCGATGTATGAATTAGTAATCTTAACAATAATCCCAACTTGTTTTGTCTCGTTACCATGCCTGCGAGACAAGCCTTTGGCCTGGCTATTATTTTTCAACTTTTTGATTTTTAATTTTTTAAAAATCGAAGAGAAACCAATTACTAAAAGTCTCAATGAAATGAAATTTTAAACAAAACCGTGTAGGAATTTAGTGTGGATCGTTGCTTATTAAATAAAACAAAGCCAAACAAGAACATAATTTTAGTATGGAAACATTAAGCCCCTATTTTGTGGAGATTAAATTAGATTTTTAGTAGTTTTTGATAAAAGTTGAGGAAATGTATGGTGTTGAATGCATGAAATATATGGTTAAAATTAATTGTTGATTTTGATTTAAATTAAAATTAAAATTTTACTTCGTACCAAACATGGGCTAAATCTATTCATCAAAAATAAATGCACATGTTCATCTCCATAAAAAACAAGATAACTTGAAATTTCAAACTAGTCATACCCATATTTATTATTTTCAACGATTTCTAGCTTGCAAGGTTCACATAGATCCATAAATTTACATACGGATATTCGAAATAAACCTTGAAGAAATGGCTTATAGAGACATTATCTTGAATTGTCAAGTGGTGCAAATACACTCATCACTCGACAGAACTTGCTGAAGGTTTCATATTCTCCACCCTCATAATCAATGGCAGAATCTGAAAAAAAAAAAAAAAAAAATCTCCTTCATGTGAATATTATCTTTAGAATGAAACATATATTCTAAATGTTTAGTGTAAACTACTTTGCAAGAATTTATCCCTCTCAAGTCCCAACCAGATTACAACTTTTGCACCAATAATACACAGCCGTGTCTTCACCAGATGGGCCCTAATTGCATTAGAGTGGGCCATAGACCTGCGATTTGTGGTAGTATAACATAGAAAGTGGTTGTGTGTCTTCCAATGTTTTTAAGACGGATTTTAATATGAAAAGAAAGGTAAAATGAATTCTCGCTCAACTGACATGGATTTGACATTTCAGATTCTGTACAGCCGATCCATTCATAACTATCTCAATCTTATCACACACCCTACCCTACCCTACGTACACCCCAACAGAAACCAAAGCAAGAAGATGGATTGCCAGCCATTAATGCTGATCCCAAGGACGAACAATAATAAATCATTCCTTGGTTTCACACCACATTCTTCTCAACTTACACCTTCCACCTTCCACCCACTATGCATCCATTATTGGAGCATTTGTTTCTCAATCTTACTTTAATGCCATTTGATCAAAGGCTTGGCAGACTAAAAATGAACCTTGGGTGGGGCGGTCGTTGATGATTGACCACTGATCGTCGACAGTTTACAATTACAATAGCAAAATTATTTACTAATATTTGATTAAATAATATTAAAATTTCTTCAATTTATATATAAACGCACTAAAATCACAAAATCATAATTCTTCAATCTATCATCAAGTTCCAATTTCCAACACAAATTTACCATTTATAACAAATTATAGTTCACAAATATCACATATTCACATGAAATTTCCCACTTTTTATAAATCATAAACCTCACCAGTAGGCAGCAGGCTCACCGTCATAATTCATAAAACATAAATTATAAATCATAGATTATGAGACCATTCCCCAATAAAAATGGCATCCAAAAAATAACTTAAAAAAGAGAGAGGCTTAATGGCTCACACACAACCACGATAGACAATCACGTCGACCACTTGATGACAGTAGGCCACAACTTATGCACACTACAACAACCAGAAAAAGTAGATTTTGTTGTAGTGGCACCACTGTCCTCAAATTGTCCTCTAAGTTCTAACATCAACCAGGAAAAAAACGTAAAGTTAAATGGTGTACTAGGTACAAATGTTAAAACTAGCAAAGATTAAGATGACATAAAATCACTGATCAAGAAAAAAACCCAGTCAACTCACAAGGTTGAAGGTTCAACGACAACGTTGAGTCTATCAGCTGCACAGCAAGAGTGTTAAGATTTGAGGTTTCATCTTAAAATGTCAATCTTATTAAGAGTAGTCGTAGATAAATTAATAGGCCTAATTTTAAAAAAAAATAATAATAAATAAATAAAATTAAAATTCCCAAAACAAAAGGCCCAAAATTTAAAAAATAAAAAATAAAAAATGGCCCAAGTTCAAAGGTTTCTCTTTTTCCTCCTTCCCTAATCCATCTGGATTCAATCTTCTCGACGGCGACTGCAAGTCTGCAAGAATAGCGACATCCAACCTGTAAATTTTGATGTAGTTAGCATTGGCGGTTGCGCTACCTCGTCAAGTATTGGCTCTGTCTCTGGGTCCAACCATGACTTGTGAGCTATAACCGTTTGACCGTGCAAATTGACCTACTTGACCTGTAATCAAATCCAGACAAGCTTTACTATAGAGGCACATGGCCGATCCGAGCCCTGCAAGAAATCTGTGCTTGGTGGCTCAACCGAGCCATTTATTAAAAATAAAATAAAGGAGTTCAAGATTAAGGAGTAAACCTATACCAAGCACTCTTCACCGTTATGGATTAACCATGTCCAATCTTTGGTTGGTATTGGTGTAGATTTAGAGAGAATAGAGAATCAGCTTTAGCTGTGTTAAAAGAATAATAGTTACATGTGAGGTAAATTTGTATTTTCAGAATTAATCAAAATCAGTATTTCAACGTTTAATTAACAAGTGATTTATTTTATATATGTATACAATCTATACTGATTATGATCTCCATATGTATTATTAGTTATTAACATTTGTAGAATTGTAGAAATTATTTTTACTTGTATAGCAACTTGGAATATTATTAAATAATTGTCTAAGACAAAACATTCATATAATAATCATTTAAAAAAAAATTAACATCTGTTAAATCTTAAAATTTATAAAAGTAGAAAATAAAAGCATTGCCTATATGGTAGAGAAAAATAAAAATGAATTTATATTATTTTTCATGTGTTGGACTTGCAAAATTTGAAAATCACATAACTTGAATTAAATCAAATTCTGTTCTCTTAGTGGCCAAGAAGAAAAAGTAAAATGAATTTTTTTAGGGCTAGGGTTTGTTGTTATAGAATATCAATAAACGTAGAATACCAACTAAATTAAGACAGAAAAGCAATTAAAATTATTCCTTTGATGAATAATTGGAAAATTTAAAGGAAGGTTATATTAACACTAATTTTTCATTTGTTTCACCACTTTTTAATTGCATTAAAAATTTTTGATCTTTTCTTATTGCCGCATTTTGTTTGTGAAATCTTTTCCTCAATCTCTAGTAATTTCGTGATGGGTTGTGTCAAAATATTTTGTTATCATGTTTTGAAATAAGTGACAAATATTTTATTGGACTTTTGTATTTTTTAAGCTTTGAGTAAGTCCTTTTAGTTTTTACGTTCCCGTGGAACTTTTTGGATGGAAACCTCCATTTGGGACATATGAGCTAATTAATAAAAGATTGAAGACAAAAATACGACCTAAAAAATTTGAGAAAATAAATATGAAAATATTGACCAAAAGTTGGAATGCAACAAAAGAAGTGTTTGGAGGCACAATAACCATCAAAATTTAAGAGAATTTGATAAGTTATCTTTTAGTTGCTTCTCAAAATCTGCTGGCGTAATTGTCAATTTTTAAAAATCTATTACATGTTTTTTAAAGTTTACCAAACTCCTAAAATAGTTGCGATTGTTCGAAAATAAGAAGTCGAGTTCTAAAAATAATATAATAAACATGACTTAAATGGATTATCTACGAAACATCCCATTTCACCACGATCACGGCCACCATGTTTTTTTACATGGAAAACAACAATTGTATTAAATGAATTTTGTGGATTTTATTTAACCATAATGTTATATTTCATTTTCATTCCACTCATGAGAAATTATTTATGTTGACAGAGGCACCTAAACCTTAAAATCCAAAAATAAAATAAATATCCCAGAGTAAATGATTTTTATATAGTTTAACGTTAATGTTGATACTTATGGTGATTTCTAGTATTTGAGGTTATTGGGGGAAATTATGAAACGTGAAATTTGACTGTTTACAGTTTCATAATAATTTTTTTTTTATTTTTTAATGTAAAAAACATGTTCATATTCAAACACAACGCTTTTGTTCATAGAAATGTAATGTATAACATTTACAACAATTTTACAAAAAAAAAAAAATGGTCAATAAGCAAATTACAAAATGCAATGTCATTAAACCGTTGTCATTACTAATAATAAAAAAAAAAAAAATTCTTTTACGGTAAAAACAGTTGCATTAGTAATTAACACTACACTTTTGTTGATAAAAATGTAGGGAAATCTGAATACGTTAATGAACTTCAAGGCACGAAAAACGTTATCTTTTAAGAGATGTTTCTCCCCTATTCAACAAAGTCACAATTGGGGTATGATAGAAAA